GCCTGCTTGTTATGCCATAAGGATACAACATTACCACTCCTTCGTATTAGGAACCCACTAATACGCATTTGCTATGCAATCATTGTCTTGTTTCCCAATTTCCTCCCAGGTATTCTCTTAAAAGCGATTCTGAAACATCTCTCAGATGCTAGAAAACCTTCAAACCAGCGAAAGATGATTATCTATTCTGCCGTGAGTACCTTTTCATGGTAGATTTTTTGCAGTTATTAACTACAATAAATGACCTCTGGCTTCATATGCAGCAGATTACAAGAGTTGCAATGCTGTTATTTCTGGCCAGCTTTAAATATTTCATGATTATCTTAACTTATTTACTTAGAAAAATGCAGCTCATATATCCGACATTCTATTTCCTAGTCCAAGTGGTTTATTTCATTTAAAGCTGTTTTGACTGGTAAATAAAACAACTCAAAAGATTTGTCCAGGCTCTTTCATTGATCCAATAGCACAACTCTGATCTTCAAACTGGTGGTCTGTTGCTCTTCAAATAACATTTTTTTTTTTCTTCTCCTCTTTATTTTAAATTAAATTCAATATTTCTAAAAGACACTAGATTCTGTCTTGCATATGGAGGTTTTCTACATATACACAGAACATGATCCTGGTAGCAGTCTGCTCCCACCCCCTCTGGTCCTGCACCAGTCCCCTGCAGCAGTCAGGGGAAGCTGTAGGCTCCCAGGGGCTGACAGGTATCACAGGGCCAGGACAGAACAAGGCTGGGAGATTGTCCCCTGCCTGCTCCTGAGGCAGTCTCTGGTGGTGAACCCTGGGTGGGGACAATGTCCCTGTGCCCCAACACCAGGGAACTCCCAGCCCTGGCTCCCTGGTTGGTGGCAGGGGGCTTGGAAAGAGCTGTAGGGGTCTCACAGCTAGCTGCCCCACCAGTGAATCAGGGCAGGGGGCTGGGACCCATCCCTTCCCCACAGCTCTTTCCAAGCCCCATGCCTCAATTGCTCAATCCAGGCATGAGGCTGGGAAAAAGCTGCCAGGCTGGGACCAGCCCCTGATCAGGACAGATCCCAGCCAGCCCCAGGCTCCATGGGGAAGTCTGCATGTGCAGCCCAGAGCTGGCTGGGGATTGCCCGAAACAGGAAAGTCCCCAACCACTTTCAGGCTGCACATGCAGACTTCCCCACACAGCCCAGGGCTAGCCAGGAACTGTCCCAATCTGGGGCAGGTCCCAGCCAGCTCCAGGCTGGGCAGGGAATTCTCCCCATGCAGGGACTCCCTGCCCTGCACAGCTGAATAGCTCACTATAACTAATGTAATGAGTAAGTTATTGAACGGTTGCTCTGTAACACCCACATTTCATTCAGTAACTCTGTACTGGGAGTGTTTCTTCTGTTCACAGCATGCTGCTACCATCGTTGCCTTACAGATGGCACTCAATGTCTTCAATGGGAAACTGCCTCCCTACAGTGCCTGCCATTTTTTTGAACTTTACCAGGAAAAGAATGGGTAAGAATCTCATTATCACTGTCTGCAAAATACACTTTTAAAAAATGTACTGATGCCCCAGAGCATTTGATAAATAAAACTTTGGCCATTATTGAACACAAGACTCTAATATACTGAAAGCACTCATAAACTGACTTTAATTAAGATAATGGGAGTCAATTTAGTGCTTATGATTAAAAATAGCAGACATACAGCCCTGGAGACTGCAGTTTGTCTACAGTATAAACCTGCTGATCTGAGAGCTTCCACCCTATTCCAGAAGGGAAAACTTCCAGTAGTCGGAGGCTTTACTCAGTTTCCCATCTTACACATAGGACTGGAAAGGGTCATCCTGTCTCTCTGAATCCTGTCCTCTTGTATCACAAGCAACCATGTCATATAAAAAGGGTTTCATAAGCTTTAATAAGTTCCATCTTAAAATTAGTATGGTTGTTTTGGCTCCACAATTGCTATGGGAAAGTATTTCAACAACCTCACTGCTCTCATGGTTAGAACTTCCTAACTTATAACCTACCTATCCAGTTTACATCCATTGTTCTTGTTGCAAACTAGACCTCGACCTTAAATAGCTCTTCTCCTCCCTTGTATTTACTCTGCTGTATTCATATTTATATCTGGTCTCAATCCCAAAGTCAGAGTCACCATCCACGCAGAATTGTCAACTGCTGGCACTGGATTTATGGTCCAGAGATCTTGTACCAGGTAGACACAAACCCTCAGACCAACCATGACTTCTCCATTCAATAAGAAGCAAATTTTACTGATACACAGTGATAGCTGATAAGACTAACAAAATTAATCTTCCCAATTTGATATCTACCAGTTATAGGGCTGTCACAGAAAGAAGGTATGTCTGTCCAGTATGCAAGCTTCACCCTGTGGTTGTCTTGAATGTCAGGTGTCAACAGCCTGGAGGTTGAGGGCCAAGCCC